AAATTATTATTTCGTTTACCACAATGAACTATTTTTATTATTATGTTTGTTAAACAAAAATACAAAAAAAACTGAAAAAAAGGAAAGAACATTGATGTCAAACGAGTATGCATCCTCATTCATCCAGATTTTTTTTGTGTGAAATCTACATCTTTTAGTATCAAAACTACGTGTTGTGGTCTTTCTTTTGTGTATTGTGTTATGATGTTTTGTGAAAAATCTGTACGTGATGGAGAAAAATGGATTTCATTCTCGGATTCAGCGTACAGGAATTACTGTGGAGTGTAGAACATGTAAAAATTTCAAGACAATAAAACCATCGCAGGCATGTGTAATTTAAAGGTTCATAAAAGTAAGAAATAAGTTAAAGTCAGTGCTCTGCCCTGAAAAAAAGAACTTTACAAGATTCAGACTAAAAAATGACTAACTAATCAAAATTCAAGTTTATTTTTTTCTAAAGTACACCTATATTTAAACTTAAAACTTTTTGTCCTGAACCTATTAAAATGGATTTAATTTCCTCTTTCATGTAATGATAATGAATTAAAAAAAAATTTTTAAATTATCTTTCCATTATTTTATAAAGTAAATATCAGTTTCTTCATAAAACATTTGTTTGTTTGTGTGTAGTTAAGCACAAAGCTACACAATGGGCTAACTGTGCTCTGCCCACCAAGGTTATCTGGCACCGTAAAGTCCGCACACATACCACTGTGCCACTGGCGGCCACATAAAGCGTTTACTGGAGATCAGAAACTCACCCGTAAGGAAAAGTACGAGTTGCTTTTCGCCTGGCTAATAATGATGCACTAAGACCCATAATAAGAGCTGAACAGTCAAACAGCATATGAAATCCGTCGGATACGAGCCCTAGACTATTGGTCCAAACACCATACAACAATTCAATAAATGTGAATCCCTAAAAAAAAAAACAGATCCACATTATCTGAAAAAAAACAACAACAACAAAGAAACAGATCCATATTATCTGAAGAAGAAAAAACAACAAAGGAACAAATTCACATTATCTGAAAAAACAACAAAGAAACAGATCCATATTATCTGAAAAAACAACAAAGAAACAGATCCATATTATCTGAAAAAAAACAAAGAAACAGATCCATATTATCTGAAAAAAAACAACAAAGAAACAGATCCACATTATCTGAAAAAAAAACAACAAAGAAACAGATCCACATTATCTGAAGAAGAAAAAAACAACAAAGGAACAGATTCACATTATCTGAAAAAAACAACAACAAAGGAACAGATCCACATTATCTGAAAAAAACAACAAAGGAACAGATCCACATTATCTGAAAAAAAACAACAAAGAAACATCCACATTATCTGAAAAAACAACAACAAAGAAACAGATCCACATTATCTGAAAAAAACAACAAAGAAACAGATCCACATTATCTGAAAAAAAAAAAAGAAACAGATCCACATTATCTGAAAAAAACAACAACAAAGAAACAGATCCACATTATCTGAAAAAAACAACAACAAAGAAACAGATCCACATTATCTGAAAAAAACAACAACAAAG